AGTTCCACCATCATCTTTTGCTGTTCCCCTAAGCAATTTACTAGGGCCTTGGTGGATTCATAAAGAAGCTGGCCTGCTCCTCTTGTTGTGTCCTCATCTGAACGTTAGTATTGAATCCATGCATCTCAATATCTCCCTTAGTATTGAAAGGAATACAGAGATCACATTTTTATCATCATATGCCTTCCCATTTATTATTATCATAGCATAGCAATCATACTGTTTCACCTTTATATCAAAATATATAGCCAATAACTTGGTACTATTGGTGCCTCAAATAAATTTCTGACTATCCTTTCAAAGTTTGAAATAATTTCGTTTCCCCTTGCTTTACCTCTATTGAGGTGTCATCCCTTTGTTAACATATTAGGGCACTGACTAATATTCCTTTTACATGTTTTACTCTACTAATGCCATCTTTGTTCAGGGAAAATCTCTTAACTTTGCTTATATTCTATTCCGGACTTTCAATTTAATTATTATTTTTCTAGGAGGAAGTTTCTCAATAATCTTCTATTATTCCTTACTTCTTTTCTATGTCTACTTCCCCTGAAGTAGTCACCTTAACCTTTCAATCTTCATGGAACTTCATCCGGGCAACCCACCATTGTCAATTTCTACACTTTCCTCATAGTACATCAACATAATAACCAAATATAAATCCAATCACACAATAATCTATTATCAAACAGACACTATCCAATTATCAAACCATAACAAACCACCAATCACAATTGGTATCGTATAACAGTTAGTACAATGCAACCCTATAGAGTCAGAACCTTTGCTCTGATACCAAAAAGTGTCATATCCAGTCAGGCATTTAGCTCATTATATGTTCTTCACTTAACATTGTTCAATTTCTATCCCTTTTGGCTTGCTATTCCTTAGGAATTTTACCATTAGTTAGGGGTTTAACAACCTCAAGCATTTTGTCCTCACTACTACATAAAAGTTAGACGGTAGCGTTAAAAATTTCAAATAGGTAGCATTTTTCAAGTGCTACGTATACCAGTGCTGCCTAATCATTCGGTAGCGCTTCAGAAGCGCAACAAAAAAAATGCTTCCTTTAAAAAAAAAAAAAAAAGACATAGCGGTAGCGCTTGGAATTATAAGTGCTACCGCTTGTTATAACCTTAGGTAACGCCTAAGCCACAAAAGCGTTATCCAAGGCTCTAATTTTTTTTATTAATTAAAGTATGAAAATGCCACTTAAGGTTTTTTTTTTTTAATAATTAAAGCATCAGGTAGCTCTTGTACCACGCAAGTGCTATCTAATGCTTTGTTCTATTTTTTTTATTTAAATCTATAGGTAATACATTTGCCACACAAGTGCCACCTGAAGTCTGTGTTATTAATAATTTACAAATTTATATAAATTCAAATTTACAACAATCTTCTATACAGATTTTCCCAGTTACCACCATGATTAATAGTCAAATACTTCGTCCGTTCCTTATTATAAGAGACAAATAACCGAAATACGTTGCTAAAAAAACAGTTAAAATTAGTTAAGAACAATTAATATGTAAATAATATAATTTTTTTTCTAAAAATACCCTCATTAATAAGGAGAGAGAGAGCATGAGAGAGAACAATTAAATTATTAAAAGAGAAAGAAGTAGGAAGGAGAGAGACTGTGAGTTGGAGATAATAAATATGGGTAAAATAGTAAATCAACACAAAAAAGTAGAGACAACTTTTAAATGTCTCTTATATATAGAAACATGCCATAAGCATCAAATGTCTCTTATAATAAAGAACAGAGGGAGTATCAATATAATTAACTTAATTATATCACAAAAAATAACAACCGCAACCAATGTGGCTACACTTATAACTATTGATTCAAATTATATATAATCTAGTATTATTGATGTTGAAAAAACCAAATTGTTTAGTATAGTCATATGAAGAAGAACGCTGTGCAAAACAATAAACCAAAATGTTCAATGAACAAATTATTACATTGTTGGAACACATAAGTACACCATTCTTCAATCATCACTTTGTTTATTTGGTTGTCATTGTAATCTACGCAACGTACACCATCGTAATACTGCAACATAATAAAACCACACATCAAAATCAATTAAAAAATAGTTATTAAAACTAAATTAAATTAGAAAAAAATACAAACTAAAATTCCATGCATAGTTAGGGATAAAAATTTGATCATGAGTGACAACATCCTTCATGAATCACATCATGTAATACCCACAATCATTATTATTAGGTTGGAAGGGACACTACAAAAGTACCAATAAAGAGATATATCAACTTATGCATGCAAATTATATATTTTCAATATCTGAATAGATTTTTGTAAATACTATAATTTTTTTCGACTTGTAGCTTTTTGAAGAGTCCATAGCTTTAGAATGCTCAAGTCCTTTAGCACCTTGAAAGCTAGTTAATGCACTAACAAATTGAAAAAAAACGACAAATTAGTCTTGGGTCATACAAATATATACATGCACAAGCACATATTTACCTATTAAATAATCTTAACATGTATAAGTAGTCCTTCGGTTGACCATGCTTTAAAAGATCCATGTAATAACAGAACTGACCATTAGATGTCGTAGGATTAGATGACAATCAAAATCCAATGTCTCCTAAAATAGTTTGCAAAAGTTTAGTTATACAAGTTATAACTGGCCAATAGATAGGGGGGAAAAAAATTCATATTATATAGGGCTACCACTAATGATCGACCGTGCACTGAAAGGTGCTATGAACCAGTGTTATTAGAATCGTGCGATTTGGGATACGAATCGCACGACTCTAATAACACTGGTTCATAGCACCTTTCAGTGGGATACGAATCGCACGATTCGTTACAGAAAATGCACGGGGAGATACGATCTCCCAGTGTATCTCAAGGGCTTCTGAATCGAGCCCTGAATCGCGCGATTCACACCGGAATCACGTGAATCGCGCGACGCCGGCGAATCGCGCGATTCTGGGCAGCGTCGGGTCGCGCAGATCCGATCTTGCGCGACGACACGATGAAACCGTCGTTTTACCTTTTTTTTTTTTTGAATTTTTGCTTTTTTCCGGTTTATATAAGGAAGCAAACGACCCAACCCTTTTTTTTTATTCCCCTGGTCTTCTTTTTACGTTTTACTCTCTATCTTGTGCCCCACGCTTTTTTTCTTCTCTTCCGTCTGTTCGTGGCTGAAATTTGAAGCTTTCAAGTTTGAATATTGAAGTCTCAAGTCTCCTCTTTTGCTGGTTCTTTCTCTTCTCTTCTATTCTGTGGTATTTTTTTTCCTCTATTTTTTTTATTGGATATTATATTGGTGGGAAAAATGAGTCAGAATCAGAATAAGAAAAAAAAGGAAGCTGACATTACATGGAAACATTGTGAAAGTGTTCCTCCCCATAGACTTATGGTTAAATGCAAATACTGTTCACATCAATGTTGGGGTGGAGTAGCCAGGATGAAACATCATTTGGCAGGAACCAGAGAAAATGTGAGTCCATGTACAAGTGTTCCTGATGAAGTTAAAAAGTTGTTTGTTAAAATGCTAGAAAATAAAGAAAAAAATAAAGATGCTATTAGTGTTGAAATATTTGAAGAAGCAACTGCTCAAGATGCTAAGGGGAAGGAAGGGACATCAAAAACTATCAAACAAAAAACAATGAATGAGATGGTAAAAGATAGAGATTTAGTAATTCAAGATATTTGTAAATGCATCTATGGTAATGCTTTACCATTCAATTTGGTAAGAAGTCCACTATTTATTCAAATGTTAAAATCTGTTGGTGAATATGGTAGGGGTTTGAAACCTCCAAGTTATCATGAGGTGAGAGTTTCTCATTTAAAAAAAGCTGTTGATAAAATTCAAGAAAGTTTAGTGAAGTATAAGAAGGATTGGGAGAAATGGGGTTGTACTTTGATGTGTGATGGTTGGACTGATGGTAAAGGGACGTCTCTTACTAATTTTTTAGTTAATAGTCCTAGTGGGACAGTCTTCCTAAAGTCAGTGGACACAAGTAGTGTGATTAAAGATGCTAAACAAATGTTTGAATTACTAGACAATATGATTGAGGAAATTGGAGAGGATAATGTGGTGCAAGTTGTGACAGATGGTGCCTCAAATCTTGTGGCAGCAGGGAAGATGTTAGAAGAGAAGAGAAAAAAATTATTTTGGTCTCCTTGTGCAGCTCACTGCCTTGATTTAGTCCTTGAAGACATTGGGCAACTTCCGGTATTTTATAATACCATCACCAATGCAAAGAAAATAACAACATTCATTTATAGGCATACATGGGTCTTGAACTTGTATAGAAAATATTCCAAGGGACGAGAATTAGCTAGACCGGCAGTGACAAGATTTGCAACAGCTTATCTTACACTAAGTTGCATATTCCGGCAAAAGAATGCTCTTCGAACCATGTTTGCTTTAGATGATTGGGTTTCTGGTTCTTTTGCTAGTAAAAGTGAGGGTAAGCAAGTGGCGGACATGATTTTTAGGGATTCTAGATTTTGGAGTTCCATCAAATATTGCTTAAAGTGTGTGAGTCCACTTGTAAAAGTTTTGAGACTTGTAGATGGTGACTCTAAACCTGCTATGCCATATATTTATGAAGCAATGGATAGGGCCAAAGAAGAGATTGCTGACAATTTTGAAAAGAAAGAATCAAGGTATAAAAAGATATGGAAGATTATTGATACTCGTTGGAATTTGCAACTACATAGACCCCTCCATGCGGTTGCCTACTTTCTTAATCCTAAGTAAGTTTTATACAATTTAAAGTTTAAAATTTAAATATTTATATTTATTATTTAATTGTATGCTAGAAAAAGATAACTTATTCATTATTTTTTTAGGTTCCATTATGATGAAAAATTTAATGCGGATCAAGAAGTTTATTTTGGTTTATATGAAACTATTGAGAGAATGATTCCGGATAGAAAGACAAGATTTTTAGTTGATCAACAACTCGAGGCATTCAAGTCTGCTAAGGGACTTTTCGGAAGGAGCATGGTAATAGATACTAGAAACAAAAAGCAACCTGGTATTATTCTCTAGTCTATACTATCTATAAGAATTTAATTTTTAACCTTAATAATAAATCTGAATTTTGAAAAACATTCCTAATTATTGTTTTTTTTTTAGCTCTTTGGTGGGAAAGTTATGGAGGAGAAGGTAAAGAGTTACAAAAGATAGCTATGAGAATTTTGAGTCTCACATGTAGTGCTACTGGATGTGAAAGAAATTGGAGCATGTTTGATCAAATCCATACTAAGCGAAGGAATCGCTTAGAACAACAAAGGTTGAATGCACTTGTATTTGTCAAGTATAACCTTCAACTTGAGATGAGACAGAAGATTAGAGAGGAAAAGGGAGAGACATATGATCCCATTTGTTTATCAGATATTGAATCTGATGATGAGTGGATCACTGAAAAAGAAAACCCATGCTTGCCAGTAGATGGGTCATGGATGGACATACATGAGAGTTTCACTCTTGATGAAGGAGCTCCAAGCAAGAAAAGAAAGAGAGGTATAATATTTTAAAACTAAATTTAAGTTGATTTTAGTTTAAATATATATCATCATACTTATTAAGTTTTTTTCCCCCTTAGGTCCAAGAAATTTGAATGCCAAAACCAATAGCAAAGGGAAATCTATAATAGAACAAGAGAATGAGAATGAAGATAATGTTGAAGATGGGGAAGAAGAGGATGATGAAGAAATGACATTGTTAATGGAGGATGATCATGAATTGAGTGACATTGATCTTGGAGATGATGAATGATGGATTGAATTTTATGTTTACTGACTTTAGTCTTTTTAAGTTAGGAGTTTGACTTTGAATTTTGAATGGATTTTGGGGACTATTTATCTTTAAAATTTCATATATTGGTTATTTCATTTTTTTGGGGCAGTTTATAGCACCTAATATTTACAAACTTTTAATATTTGTTATGTGAAAATTACTTATACATTATCCTTAATAATTGTTCATGAATCTTACGATTCACGATACGGTACGATTCAAGATTCATAAAACCGGCTTTCCGATACACGATTCGTATCCCGATTTGATAACCATGCTATGAACAACATATTAGGTTGTGCCTTTGCATGGAATAACTTTTTGACTTCATTAGATTGAGAAATTATGTCATTAGTCCCCTTATGTTGCCCTATCACTTGGGGGTTGATGAATGAGAATTTATCTCTCCTCCTAGTGAAAAGTCTTCCCTCTAGATGTTCTATCAAAAAGAAAACTAAAAATCAACCATATATATATATAGCATGGGTCAGCTGGCGATTTTGCAAACTGAGAAAAACATATGATAGCTCACATCCATAAAGAAATGCCTTTTATTAGAAATAGGAATATAAAAATCATCACATTTGGCCAAAAACAAAGTGTTAAGATTTGCACCTGAGTAACTTCCTGGCCCTATCGAAACGTTGATGCTGAAACACCAAAATAGAAAGAAACTATTAACAATTGTTCTCATGCGTCAGTCATTCAGCAATATGTGAGTTAGTTGTTTTATGCATGATCCTCCATCCCATTGTCTCTTCATTGTTCTTCCTCTTTAATATAATTTCTTCATTTACCATAATTAACTAATAATAATAATGTAATTTTAATGAGAACATAAACAATGATATGAACAGAACAATAAACACTACAAAATAAAGGCATTATCGGTATAATAACGTTAGTAAGGTAAATGTCTATCATTGAATTAGGAATAACACAGTAAGTACTATGTCTCACAATAAAATGAAGAGAGAAGTAATATGTGGAATATAAAAATAAATGTAGGGCTACAATGCTTTGTCTTCAAATTCAGAGGCAAAGCAAAATAGCAGAAAATGTCCTCTTTAATTTTAATATGCAAAGAAAAAATCAAACGCGATGATACTTAGCTGATATCTTCGAATTCTCATTGTCTTGCAAGAAAGGCTGAAGCACAGTATATTTGTTTAATTAATTTAACAAAAATTTGTGAGAAAGAAAGTGAAAAGAAGCTTACTCAAACAACAATAACCCGCAAACGGAATAGCCGACATACGAGTTGAAGCTGCAAAGTTGATTATGACAACTTCATAAGCGTTGACGGTAATGTGGGTTCAACAGAACGGCAGAAAGATTGAATGTTTTAAGTTGATTGTTGCGAGGGGTTTTCAAGAGGAATGGAGGGAAGGTGGCGCGGGAAAGGAAAAGTGAATGAAAGGTTGGGGAGGGGGTCCATGTAACTGACAAAGAATTAAGGATGAAAAGGGTTTTTGGGGGTTAAAAGTAATTTAAAAAAATTAAAATACATCAGGTCGCATTAGGACTCGCCAGGCACTACTAGAAACAATAAAAAGAAGTTTTTTTTTTAAACAATAAATTCTATCAGATAATACTAACGCAGCCTAGCTCTGCATATTTTTATTAAAAAATAAGTAAACATTATAATAAAAGACCTAATGAAGATCATATTTATTAGATATGATTCTGAAAATTAAAATTATTTACAAGTACCAACTGCCTCAATAAAAATTAAAGTTAAACATACTAAGCTATATATAGGTATTTTGTTTATATTTTTATACTCTTATTTTATGTTAGACGGTTATTTTCTCAACTATTAGGATTTTTTTTTTTTACCAAAACCATTAGGATTGATATTGAATCTTCTTAGGTAACACAAATACAAAATTTAACAAGACAATATAAAAACAATACGAAATAATGTGGCGTGGAACACTTAATATAACCGCATAATGTTTTGTAAAGAAAATATAACTAACTAATATTATGGCGTGGAACACGTACATGATGATAGTGTATTGATATGTTCTACAAATAATTATTTTTTACATTTGTAATTATATTAAGTAAAAGAATTCAAACAATTAGAATTATAAATAAAATGAATGTGGGAAATAAATAAACAAAAATGCAGTTAAATTTATGACCTTGAAACCTCATTATTCAAATAAACGCTCAAATAAAATAGTTTTATTAATTAAAAGATGATGAAAAATTAATCATTGTTAACTAATATTAATTCTGAGTTTTAATTTCAAATTGGTTTGAATTAATCTGAATAAATAATTTTGTTGTTAAATAGCGAGGAAATTGGATGATGGGAAAATTACACACAGGTCCTACAGACGAGAATTAATTCAGATAAAGTCTCTGGAAATCCCCAAATTCTTCCTAAGTCCCCAGGGACCTATGTGTAATAAATTACAATTGTAAAATGTCTGTTATGCCTTTATTGATTGAAAAAAGAAAAAACAAAGGGAAAGCTTCAGTTTGCGCGCTGGTGCTGCACGTATGAGGAAGAGGAGCTTCTGAAAGAAGGAACGGAAGTTTGTGTTGGTGCTCCATTATTCTAGGAAAGCCATATTTTTTCTTCATCTTCTTTGTAGGTCTCATCAGTAACAAGATTTCTTTTCTTTCGTACAGAACCAATCTCAAGTTTAATGTTGGTTTGAAAAGTTGATTGGCTGTGGGTGTGTGGGTATTAAGGATGTGATTTAATTTACTTGAACTATCAAGGAAAGCTCATTTTAGTGACATATGGTTTTAATCATCTTAGATGTGGTTTTGTTATGTGTGGCTAGGGTTATAAAGCAATGCTCTGTTTTTGGGTGAATGATGCTCTTTTTTTCGGTGATTAATGTTGTGTTGCTGATGAAAAAGAATAAAAATGACATATTTTTATTGTTATAACTCCCTATAATGTGATGGTTAAATGTCTTGTTAATGGATACGTCGAAGGTTGTTAATGTAACTGTATGACTTGTTAGTAACGAGTGATTGTGACAGGTTGATATGAAGGATGGCAACTTCAAATAGGAAGCATTTGTTTTGTTACCTCCACATAGGGGGACAATTTATTGATGGTGTAAAAGATGAAATGCAGCATGTTGGAGGTGGTGTGAGAACAAAAATGATAAAGAAAGGCACATCATATAAAGAATTTAGAACAATGGTAGCATCAATTATGGGAAAAGAAAGCAATGGAAGGGTTATCAAATTCACAATAACCTTTGATGAGTTTACATTTGTGGACCTTATAGATAAAATGTAAATTTGGTGTTGTTCCATTGTACATATATATCAAGTGGTAAATGACATCTGGTTGTAATCTGATATAATATCATATCCGTATTTTGATGTACTTGTTAATAGGTTGTAATGGACTTGTTATCAGATGCTGTGGAGGTTGTCATTAGCAGTCTAAATTATGTTACTGATATAAAATGACAATTTCTCCTGCTTGTAGTGGTCAGTGATTTCTTAACACATGATATGATGAAAATACTGAAAAGAATTGGTTTTGATAAACTGTCAATTAATGCTTGTTGATTACTTGTTATTTACTACCGTCAAGGTTTTTAATACCTGCTGATTACTTGTCATTCACTACCATCAAAGTTGTTCCTTTCTTTTGTTTCTATTTATAGAGAGATTGTTTCTACCAAGTTCTTTGTAGAGTATATTATCAGCACATATGATGAACTTAACAATATAATAGGAGGCATTTTGAAGTCATTGACAGCTTTAAGTAAACCCAGCAGGATTACAGTATATTTTTATTGCAGATATTCATTTACAACCTTAACGGCAGTTGTTGACAACCTGAGAAAAAGTGATTAACAACCTCAACAGTGCCCCTAACAACTCACTCTATCGAATACCACAACTTCTAAAAAAATTGTATTATCAGCACACATAACGACCTTAACAATATAATGTGAGGCATTTTAAAGTCATTAACAGCTGTAACTGAACCCAATAAGATTACAGCAAATTTTAATTGTAGAGATTTATTTACAACCTTAATGGTGGCTGTTGACAACATAAGAAGAAGTGGTTAACAACCTCGGCCGTGCCATTGACAACTCACGCTGTGAGATATCACAGCCTCAACATAGCATCAAATTATAACCAAATGATATTATGTTACAACTTTAACTCAACAATCATGTGTTAAGAAATCATTGAACATTGCAAGTAGGAGAAATTGTCACTTTATATCAGTAACATAATTCAGACTACTAATGACAACCTCCACAAAGTCTAATAACAAGTCCATTACAGCCTATTGACAAGTACATCAAAATACAGACATGATATTATATCATATTATAACCAGATGTCATTTACCACTTGATATATCTGTACAATATAACTACATCAAATTTACAACCCATTCAAAAAAGCACACAGGTTACATGTGTGGATAATGACAGACAATTTGAGGTGTGGGTTATGATATTTACAAAACAATTATGTCACAAGCATTCATAAAAAGAAATACAAACAAGCCACCAACAAAGCTAAACTTGGATTGGAGTTTTGGCAAGTCTTTACAATGTGGCCTCACGTATGGCATCTTTTACAGTAGTGAAGTTTTTTTTATTTTGAAATTGAGATTCAATTCTTCTTTCCTTTGGCCTCCCTAAGGGTCTTTTAGTGATTGGTGTGCCTTTCTTTATCATTATTGTTCTCACACAACCTCTAACATAGTGCATTTCACCTTCTACACTATTAATAAATTGTCCCCCTATATGGAGGTAACAGAACAAATGCTTCCCACTTGAAGTTGCCATCTTTCATATCAACATGTCAGAATCACTTGTTAATAACAAGTTATACAGTTAT